ACCTTATCATTTTATTACTCAGTTATAAATGCACCCATTGATTGGAAATTATTACTAAAATAATTAGCTTTTTAACCAGATTAACCATTTAGACATTTAGAGGCAAATAACTTGGTCATTTACTTAATAGAAGTAATCAATTATATCTGTTTCTTAAGAACTCGCGTACACATTTGACTAAACTATCGCTAAACTGTTTAGTCTCGCTTTGGTTCCTATGAGCTTATATGGAGGTGCGCACACTATTCAATTTTAGTTGTACAACTGTACAATTGAATTGGCAGCGAAACAATCGAAAATCACACAACAGTTGTGCGACAGTTTAGTCAAAGGTGTGCGCCCGCTCTAAATGTTTGTAGAACACAACTTTCTTACGTGAGCATAATAAAAGGTTTTTCAAAGTAATGGTTAGTAATTGGCATACTTATAAAAACTCCTTGAAACTTTCTTGATAGATCGAGGCATGATCGTTTCTGACTGAAAATGTGTACTTGATTTCATTCTCACTGTAGAGGTAAGAAAATTGACGATATACTGAACACGCACCCTTAAAACTTTCAATAGATCCTGTTTGTTGGGGAAACGTGAAGAGTACTGAGTTTCGGTTCGTTTGTTGTATAACCCCTTCAAACATCCCTGTTCGTCTTATTAAAGTTAGAAAACTTTAACTTAGAATTTATTTTACACTTAAACATCTATCAAAGATGTTCATTTTTAATGATTTTTTGTTAGATTAAGGTTAAACGTTATTAAAATTTATGAAATAGTCATGTTCATGTTTTTTTTATGAAATAATTCATAGTGCAGTCTTAGTGATCACAAAACTTCAAACGGAATATAATATAAAAGAAATAGAACAATGAAAGAAAAGAAAAAGTAAAATAAAAGCTTGTAGCAACCGGACCCGGAAATATTCTTGTCTTAGCATCCTTGTGTTCTTTTCCTTAGGAAGTGGGTCGTTTGTTCAAGATGGATTCATTTTTATATCTCTCGCTATAACGATATAACGTTGAAAATTTGATTTTAATAACAGTGGTAAGAGTTTGTTTTAAGAAGTACAATGTTTGTTAAAATGAAAATACAGAGTACAGTCAGCTACATAAATATGTATACATTTACAAAAACTTAGAAACTCGTATAGATTTTTTTTTTCTGTGAATTTGTATAGCTTTGTCATACACATATAAATTCCTTCATAAAAGAAACAATCGAAGTATGAACATTTTTCCTTAGTCAAAGGTAATCTTGACAAATCCCTGTCACTCCCGTTATATTTCCCAGTGGACTTTTCTCTAAGCTTTAGTAAGTTACCCGTCGCAAAAATAAACTTCAAGGAAGTCATTTAAGCTTATATACATTATTGGTGGTTCTTAGAAAAATATCTTGACATTACTCTTATTTAGTACGCAATAAGTAAAAAAAAAACATGTTTCTAGGAATCCCGTAACTTCTTTAGTGTAGATTTAGTAAGAGAACTATAAATTTATAATTACCCTTTGTGATCAATTAAGAACTTTGAGTAAGGAAGTTAATACATTGATGACAATCTTTATGTAATTAAATAAAGCAGGTTTCTAAATTAGAAAACCCTGTAGGGATTTAATCGTTCAACAAATCTTTTGTGAGTTTCGATATCTCTTGTGTCATATAAGCTTTAAGTTAATGTAATCTGCACCTGCGCACAGGTTTTTAAGTATACTATAAAGTAGATAGATACACCTGTTGTCTTAATTATAAACCCATAATGAAAAGTAAGAATACACCTGCCTTTTCTACAAAATTGATTACATAACTTGGAATCTATTCAATACCCAAATTGTACATTTTATTTGGATAATAATAATTCGACAAGAATTTTAAATTGATGTTTTTAAAATCGAGAACCAGTGTTATTCTATAACAATTTATATAAGGCGTGCATATTCGTAAGAGATTTGGCCGGGGGAGATCCATTGTACAAACCCTCTTAGCCACCCTCTTGGCAAGGGTAAGTTCGATAGAGCTTCGAGCTTCTAACGTGTAGCGTAGCATGTAAAAGCTCGCTCCTAAAACTATTCAACGTTTACGAGTCAACTTGGAAGCATGTTTTAGTGCTACTGGGAATATTTTTAGCGATAACTTTGTAACCATTTAGCTTAGTGCTTTAAGTTGTGGTTTATTTACTTAAGATCTCAAACGTAACAAAAACAAATGACAAACGATACTCTTAATGTACCTAAGTAATATTTGAAAAGACACAAAATCAATGTACTATTTTATTGGTTCGATACAACAATATTCTACGCCTTTGTGTTAATGGTCATCCCAATGTTAACATAACTAATGTCATTATGTAATGAACGAATCTTAACTATAATACAATATTGATAAGTTTACTAAAAGAGAAGATTTTATAACTAGTATTCAAAAACAAGTTATCAATTTACATAGAAATGTTCTTGAAAATTAAGGTTTTCAAAGAACTGTATTACCCTAGAGAGTTGAGAGAATTTGAAATAAAAAAATAAAGAACAAAATTAAGCCTTAGTGAAATTGTAGCGAAGCGTTTAATGGTACAAGAGGGAAAAATAACTTCAGTTTAAAAATCTTTTGTATTAATATTTTCACAAGAATTTTCTTACATTGAGGGCATAGTTTTATTGTGATTCAAATAGTGAATTACTTAAGATATACGTCGATCGTATTAAGAGGCACACAAGAGGTTTACGCTATGAAAAGGAGATTAAAAGTTGAATACACAGATTAAATACGTCCAGGGTAAAAAAGAGACAATGAATAGTATAGAAATTATTTTAAAGTCATCAGTGTATTTTATACTATTATAGTTTAGGTGAAACTTAATCAAGAAGCTTTAAGTCAACAACCAGAAAGATGTAGTAACATTGACCCAGTTGTCGACGTGGAAACTGTGTTGAGGTTAATAAGCTTTTCATTTAAGCTCTACAAACGAAACACTTTTTGAAACAGAGGTGTTGTCGATTCATTATTTAAATCATTATAATGATGTTGGATTTCTTCTTTCATTAAGTTCACCACCACCTGATGAGTAGAATATTATTATGGATATTTTTATCATATTCACTAATACTGTTTTACATCACAATCAGAAGAGTTAAAAAGAAGAAAATATCACATATATATATAAATAATAAAAACATAGCCAATGTTACTCGCTGGTAACGTGACTTTTTAATGATAAAATAATTTTTGAAATCAATTCAGTAGTTTTTGAGTTGTTTCAATACATACAAAAATACAAAACCAAATCTTACCTCTTTATAACAGTTGACATTGAATACAAAACGAACACTTTTACAAGCCTTGTTACATCACTTCACACCGAAGTTTACTAAGTACCGAACTTGAAGCATATAATTTGCGTCTATATCGATAGTAAGCTGCAGATGAAGCCAATCCGATGAAATGGCAAAAGCTCTTAAGTTAAACGGTAAGCTGCTTCACTCCGATACAACTTTAAAGCACTCTAGAAATCTAGAAAGCTCAAGTCGAAATCAAGTTAAATGTTTTATTAAATAAGATTCCACAAATGTCTCGCAAGTATTAACAAGAAAAATATATATTTCTTTTTATAAAAATTGTACCACCATATTTTCCAGTTCACGATGACTTGTACCCGACAAGGCATTTCCACTCGAGCACTTTTTATCCTTAAATGTATATTTATGTCCGCAGGCTGCCAACTTCTCCACAATAATTGGAGTGCAGACTTATAGAAATTTAAATTACAAATGCTTTTATTGTGCCCAAGTCACGAAAACAAAGTGACCGTAATTGCTCATAATGTAAGTTGGAAAAAAGAAATGCTTTGTGCATAGGAATAGTTGATTTGCAAGTCGTCAACCACGCCTTGTCGCGTGGTTTACTGTGTTTTTAGTTTAATTTAAAGATTATTATGCATACGAATATGGTTTAATATATATTATGTAGTTTAATCTACATTTTTGCCCAAGATTGCCCAAGTTTACCGTTTAATATATTTAGGGCCTGTTCCACAACTGGCTGCTATAGGCTCAGATAGCTTAAAAGTGACGTCACTGTCAGATAGAGCACCAAAATCCAATATTTCCATCACATAGTTACAAAGCCTCTATCAGCCAGTGGCGGGACAGGCACTTACATATACTCGTAACTGGCACTTTAAACCAGTGAACGATAGCGTTTGTATGAAGGAGAATTCTTCAGCAAAATATTTATAACCTTATAGTCTTACTTGAAGTACGAGTATGCATTAGTTTAATAGCAATGCATTAAAATTCCTTGAAGTGGTTTCGCGACATCGCAGTGCTGGTAGATCGCGAGACAGCGCGGGGCGGTTCAAAGCTGCGAGCTATTTGTGTCCAATCATTATGCAGCCGCACGCGCCTTTAACTGTGTGACAGTATCTAGCCGTTTCCGCTCGCACACCCTCCTTTCAACACACGCCTTTGTTACATACGGAAACTTAGACGTTCTTAAACTTATAACAACGTTTAGGAGCAGTAAAAGATAATGATGTGCATTTATATCATCACTAGCTTTCGCCCGAGACTCCGTCCACGTGGAATTAACAATAGTAGACTATGAGTTCTTGCAGACTATCCTCTACATCTGTATAAAATTTCATCGAAATCCGTTCACCCATTTCGGCTACAAACTCTAGCAAACATCCATCTAAACTTTCGCATTTATGTATATTATTAGTAAGAAGTATGGTTAAAACTCATCGAAGCTAATTACTAACTGTAAACAAGTGCTTTGACACGTATAGCTCTCTTTTGTCAATCAGAATGGATGGACAATGATCTTCTACGATAACAATACTCTGAATTTGCATATATATTTTATAGATATGAATAATTACTAATACTCGTATAAAAGTATTCCTAAGAAGCTACTAATCCTATAGAAGAATTGTTTGACCCGTAATAATAGCAACATTTGTTGAATGTTTACAAACATAACAGTATTATTGTTATTGAGAGGTGTGAATTGGTCAACAGATGATCGGGCCGTGTTTATGAGGTCACCGCGGCGCGAGGCTCAGTCGCGGACCAGGAGATGACGCGCGCGCGGTGCTCGGGCAGCGCCCTGCTGGTTTTGCTGTTGGTGCTCTGCCCATTGGCTATCTCACGCAACGATGACGACTTCGATTTTGATAACAATGACGAGTTCCAGGTATGCAAATATTGTTTGATTTTCAATTGTTGGGGAAGCTGCCTAACGCTGAAAGTTTGTGTGTGGTAAAACGATTAAAAATCTCAAATTAACTGTCTTTATACAGCTGCAAGTGTATTTTGAATGGTGTACTCGTGTTTAAAATTCCTTATCTGGATAGATTCGAAATGGACTTATAAAGAAGTCAAATTACTTGTTTTTCCCTACATTATCTGTATTTAAAACTTGTGTAGTAATAACGTATTTTATTGATTGTACTTGTATGGATTTATGTATAGAAATGACTGCACTGCAGTTTATGACATGAGAATGTTGACAGATCTGGTCTCGTGTTTGACTGGTACAGTCGTTTACAGTGAAGTGAGCTGGGCTAGAGTTTTGTAAACGTGCAACCGACTGTACTGCACATAAATGTACGGAGTGCTCTACAAATTCCTATTCAGGATATGCAAGTTGACGGTGCTCATGTTTTAACGACTAAAGTCTGTGCCCGCATTATGCATTTAATTACAATAAAAATGTGAAGTTTACATTTTTTTATTTAGTGTGTTATTATTATAATTTCAT